TTGTATAACATGTAGTTGTATACTATATAGCTGTATACTCTACATGTTATTATAATATTCTGTCTTGTAAAAATAATTTTTTTAATATTCAGGTAATATACGATTATATCTTAAAAATGCTTTTTTTCCGTTCGGAGGGTCGCATTTTAGCTTTAACAGAAAATGTACGCGCTAAATTTAGCGTCACGTTCAGCATAAAGAATGCCTCTATATGTCTCAACAAGTTTGATTTACAAGTTCCAAGGTATTAAAAAATCGCAAATTTTTAGAATATGGGGTATTCCATACCAAGTGGGCCACCTAATTTTTGGGCTTTCTCGTCGCAACGCTCTTTTCGCTTGTCATTAGTGGGCATGAGAGGCAAGTTTGAAAATGAAATGTAGACGTTTCCTTATAGAAAATTGAACGCTCTTTCACGTAAGAATACTCTTTTTTCGATCAGACCGGTTAACGACGAAGTTTATCAGTTTTGAACTTTTCAAAATGGCGGCGCGCCTAAAAGGCCAGTCTCAATTTTCTTTTAATATAGCTCAAAATGTAGCCCCAGATCTCTACTTTGTTACTCTAAAAGGACTTAATGGGACACGCATTCGTTTGGGAGTAAGAGCTAGGAAAGTGAGGCAATGTCGCTCCGTCACCCTGCCGCGGCACTCACTTTCCTAGCTCTTACTTCCAAACGAATGCGTGTCCCATTAAATCCTTTTAGAGTAACAAAGTATAAACCTGGGGTTACATTTTGAGCTATATTAAAAGAAAATTGAGACTGGCCTTTTAGGCGCGCCGCTATTTTGAAAACTTCAAAACTGACAAACATCGTCGTAAACCGGTCTGATCGAAAAAAGAGTATTCTTACATGAAAGAGCGTTCAATTTTCTATAAGGAAACGTCTACATTTCATTTTCAAACTTGCCTCTCATGCCCACTAATGACAAGCGAAAAGAGCGCTGCAACGAGAAAGCCCAAAAATTGACGGCTCTACAGTTCGGCAACCAGTTAGCCTAGAGATATATTATTTGGCATAGAGTCTTTATTCATCAAACTGTTCAAGTTCAAGCAATATGAACGAAATCCATGAAACTTCGCAAAATGGGTGGCCCACTTAGCATGGAATTATTTTTATTTGTGAAGAAAAAATCTTATATATTCTAAACTTAATTACTCAATTATATGTTGTATTATTGCAGTGCCATTAAAGTTACAATCAAAAATAAGAACGGAAAGGTGAGTTGGATAAAAACAACCATCGTAAAATTCATAATACCGTTCGTTAAGGACACGCTTGTGAATGTAATTCAGAAGGAAGGAACAAAAATGATTCAAAAATATCTCAACGAAATAAACAACTTGTTCAAAAATCACGATTTCACAAATAATGAAATAATTGATCAGTATTCGCAAATATTAATTTCGTAATACGATATTTTGTATAATTTATATTCTATGTTCACATAAATATATTATATTTCTTTTAATGCTTGTGTATTTATTTATGAGAGCAGCTTCAGTGTATTCAGCGATCCTTGAATGTCCTTAAATACTGGAATTATCCTGAAATTTAATGTATCCTAAAAAACCAGCTACAATTTTAGGATTGATTTTTTGTTATTCTTTTATTTAAAAAAATTGGATCATAAAAAAAAGAAATAAGAAATATTTTCCGGACGTGCACAAGAATTATGTCAGTAACAATAAATTTTATAGCCATTTTAAATAAAATTTTTTTGCAAAATTGCTTTAAAAGCAAATGCGGTATTGAAAATTAGATTAATAATTTAATGAAGCATCAATTAATTAATGATTTTATAAAGTAATATTTGTGATACATTAATAAAAATAGAAATTGTGTTTAGGTATAAGCCCTCCCTTAAAGATACAAGACAAGTTACTAATTGAAAATTTGGATTTAATGTCTGCAATCATAAAATAAAAAATACAGTAAAGAAAATATCGTTTGTGATAAATCTTCTTTTATTATTTATAAAGCGTTAAATAATATTGTTCAAAATTTATTTGCGTTTTAATTAATTTGTTATAGAATTCTAATTTAAATACAAAAAACGTATATTTTTTGTAGCTGTGTTTAGTAGAAAAAGTAGCATTGCAACTACACTGGGCAACAAAATTAACGCAACACCTGTTTCACTCTGCAAAAATAGGCAAACTTCAAGATAGAATAACTTCGTCAAAAATCATCGTATTGAGATGTTTAGAAAAGCATTTTACTTTAGCTTGAAATCTCTACTTTTCAGATTGCTACTTGAAAAAGTGGTCTCACGAAGATTTTATGAAGTTGCACAAACATAAATGAAGATATATCAGATCTCAAAATTTTTTACGAAATTTGTGGAGTTCCACGAAGCGGACTAAAAACTGTACGCAAATGCGATTTACATCACTCAAAAGATCGAAACTTTACCTTTGATTTGCTTTTTTACGAAGCTCCGTACGATTTTTTTCGCCAAATTATTCAACGTTGAAGCAAAAGGGTCATTTTTGTTTCAACGTTGAATAATACGGCGAAAAAAAATTGTACGGAGCTTCGTAAAAAAATTGATTAAAGGTAAAGTTTCGCTCTTTCGAATGATGTAAACCGCATTTATGCACAATTTTTATTTCATGCGGTGGAACTTTTCAAATTTCGTAAAAAATTTTTAGGTTTGACGCACTTTTATTTATGTTTGTGTAACTTCACGAAATATCATTAAGACCGTTTTTTGAAATACCAGTCTGAAAAGTAGAGATTTCAAGCTTTAAAATGCTTTTTTAAACTCGATTCGACGATTTTTGACAAAGTTATTTTATCTTGAAATTTGCATGCAGCTACTGAATAAAATTAAAGTCATTTAAAATCAGCATTAAAAAGAATCAAATTCAAATTTCACATACCTCTGCGAAGAATAATCGCGAAGCAATGTAAGAAAAAACTGTTTAAAATCATAACAAATTTTTTTAATTGTAAGTAAAATTTAACATTTTCTCTTTAAAATTTTTTATCATTATGTTATAATTTTTTTCACTGAGTGATTTGAAGTAAATAATGCATTATGTAATCTTTTTTCTGAAAATTTCGATAAGATTTTTACACCTTGTGTGTGTGCGTGCGTGCGTCTGTGAAGTGCGTAGGTGACATTTACACTTCAAAATCTGGTATTCCCGCCTTGTCTTCGAATGACTTCTTGCAAGCGCTCACGCATATTAATGCAAGATAGCTTGCAAGAAGTCATTCAATGACAAGGCGGGAATACCAGATTTTGAAGTGTAAATGTCACCCACGTACTTCACAGAACGCACGCACGCACACACACAAGGTGTAAGTCCGATCGAAATTTTCAGAGAAAAGGCTACATAATGCATTACTCACTTCAAATCACTCAATAAAAAAAATTGTAACGTAATGATAAAAAATTTTAAAGAGAAAATATTAAACTTTACTTACAATTAAAAATTAATTTGTTATGACTTTAAAAGTTTTTTTGTACATTGCTTCGCGACTATTCTTCGCGGAGATATGTGAAATTTGAATTTGGTTCTTTTTAATGCTGATTTTAAGTGACTTTAATTTTGTTCAGTAGCTGCATGCAAACTTCAAGATAAAATAACTTCGTCAAAAATCGTCGAATCAGGATGTTTAAAAAAGCATTTTAATGCTTCAAATCTCTATTTTTCAGACTGATACTTCAAAAAACAGTCTTACTGATATTTCGTGAAGTAACACAAACATAAATAAAAGTGCGTCAAACCTAAAAATTTTTTACGAAATAAAAATTGTGCATAAATGCGATTTACATCATTCGAAAGAGCGAAACTTTACCTTTAATTTGTTTTTTTTAGCAAAAGGGTCATTTTTGCTTCAACGTTGAATAACTCAGCGAAAAAAAATCGTACGGAGCTCCGTAAAAAAACAAATTAAAGGTAAAGTTTCGCTCTTTCGAGTGATGAAAATCACATTAGCGTACAGTTTTTAGTCCGCCCCGTGGAACTTCGCAAATTTTGCAAAAAATTTTAAGATCTGATATATCTTCATTTATGTTTGTGCAACTTCATAAAATCTCCGTGAGACCACTTTTTCAAGTAGCGATCTGAAAAGTAGAGGTTTCAAGTAAAGTAAAATGCTTTTCTAAACATCTCAATACGATGATTTTTGACGAAGTTATTCTATCTTGAAGTTTGCCTATTTTTGCAGAGTGAAACAGATGTTGCGTTAATTTTGTTGCCTAGTGTATTATAAAATTATTTAATATGAGTAGTTATCTTTAGTTTCTTATCTTTAGTTTTTTATTGGATTTAAGAAAAATGTGTAAATCAATTATATTAAAAAAATCTAACAACAATTACAAATTTGCTTTTGTACTGAACGCAGCCAATATTAATGCAATTAATGAAAATTAATTAACTGATGAAAATTAATTGATCTGAAAAAAAAAACTAGGATTTTACTTGAAATGTTTTGGAATTATCCTTGAATTGATTATCGAGTCAGATTATCGAATCAGACCGTTCGATAATCTCAACGGCTCATAAAATTTATTATATGAATCATCTTTTCTATCAGTGTAATAAGAATTTTTTTAATTGAAGAGTTTTCCACAAAAAGCTTAAAGTTTGTTTTTATATTTATTATATAATACTAAATTTCCATATTTATGATGCAATAAACGATTTAGAGATGAAAAGTGTCTTGAAAAGAGGAAACGTCAACTTCTTTCGTGATCGTTTATTTCTATATATCTTCTTATGATAACTTTTGGTTTCCATAAAAAAAACGTAACAAAATATAAAAATAAAACTTTAGTTTTTACGAAAAATAATTACATATATCACAATTTTGACAATAAAATCATTATTTGCTGTTGTATCTCTCGCTTGTTGTATGTGTGTTATACAATTTTGTGATATCTAACTACTTAGACTATTATCAAATCGATAAGACATAATCAGATCTTAGAAAATGAATAAATATAGAGGAAACCTATCATATCTTCCGTAGTTGAATTGTTACCGCAATCATGCCCAGTCAAATACAATTAACTCTTCTCCTCGTAACCATTGTGTACATGGTATATGGTACACCTGTTACAGCCGAACAAAATCCTAAGTAAGTTTGTATGCTCATAATTCTTTGTGATTTGAATCATTACTTATTCATTTTATAATTAAATCATCGTATTGCATTTTACAGAGGATAAGACTTTTTTTCATGTGTACACACACATACACCTTCAACCTTACATTACTTGCACAAATTAATGTAATTACTTGTGTAAGATATTTCTGACACACCAACATTATATCTCAATTTTTATTGTTTCCTTTGATAATTTACAATAAATAAAAATTGACAACATTCTTATTTAATTGTAAAACGATTTGCGCCAAATGTAACAATGTGCATAAATAGCATTCATACATTTAGCGAATTTTTAAGGTTGAGCACCCTTCGTGAGTAAAGGGTTATATGCTACAATTTATGATAACTAAAAAATCAAACACATCAGATATACCTTTTCAATTTCTCAAAAAATAAAATTTAAACTTTTAATATATTTAATTTTAAATATTTTATATATATGTATATGTATATATACATGTTATATATATGCAATATTTTTCCGTAATTAATATGTATATATATATATATATATACGCATTTCGAAAATTACATATACTACGATTTCGTTTAAATGAATAGTGCATTCAACAAATGTGTATTTTTGTATTAATTAGTCCTGGGCAAAATGTAGAAGTAAGAGCAAATCTTGATAAGGTAGTTGATGCTTTATTACCTTCAGTACGTCAAATCATTTTGAAACATGGAATGGATCCTATGCAACTCCCCAACGTTTCTACACCTATTTTCCCACACTTGGTATGTAAGAGTGAAACTAACAATAAAATTTTTGCAGGGAATGAAAAGTTATTTTTTAAAGGTAATTACTTTTAAAGTAAAAAGTAGTTACAAATTATATACAGTTACTCGTTATCATTACTCGTTACAGTTATTCGATATTTCTCACGCCGGTATTCAATATCAAAATTTGGTACTAGCTCAGTATCTCACCGATATTCAATTCTTACTTGGGAATTCATATTCGGAACATAAATAGGTGCAATCGTGAATTGACAATTGACTAATTTAATTTAATAAAATCAAAATAATTATAATTTAATAAAATGTATAAAGCTCAATTGAATAAAAATAAAAGTCAGAATAATAAAATTGGCTACAAGCCAACGTTATATAGTTGTTCAATGTTAATATTTAATAAAATATTAAGATTGAACAATTATAATAGTATTGACTCGTAGCGTTTATTTCATTAATTTAATAAAAGTGCTATTTGTTGAGGATTATTAATACTGCAATACTATAAATTCCAAATATACTATACCTATACACAAGAATGAGATAAATAAACAAGCATTGTGCATTAAAATATTTTATTTTATTATTATTTTATAAATTATTATAAATTGCATTCATTATAGTAAATAAACTTTATATAATTAAATTTTAAATTATGAAATAAAATATTATTTAAAAATATAAACTTTTCTTTAAACGCGTTTTAAAATCATTTTTAAGTAGTATTTTTATATCTGCACTTTCTCTTTCCTTTTTTCCACCGATCAATTGCTCTCGAGCGACTCATTGACGAATTTATATGTTTTCCTTCCCGCATTTCAAATTTGCTTATCAAAATATCTGTAAAATAATTTTTATTTATTTTTTATGTTACAAGATATATTAATAAATTAAATATTAACTCTCATAGGACCGTTCTTGTAAGAACACAATCAATAAGAAATACGATTTAACTTATAAAAATTTTCGGAATAATTTCCATATAAAATTATATATACTTCATATTGAATTATTTAAGCAACAATGATCTAGCTTCGACCGTTATAGGCTAAATGATATATCAATTTATGAACTTAATCAATTTGTAAATTTTTATTTTTCGCAATAAATTCTTTATGGTCGTGTTATAAAATGTAAGTATCGTTAGTATATTATTAAATTGCTTGTTAATTTAATTTGTGATTACTATTTCAGTTTTAATTTAGAACTGCGTTGTAAGATTGAAAATTAATTTGGAAATTTAGATTAATAAACATAACTGGATTGTATACATAAATTCACACGGAAATATTATCAAATATTGAGATCCAACTATAAAAAAAACCTTTCAAAGTGTCATATTTTGATTTTAATAAAACTTTTTATATATGTAAATAATACCATAGATTACATAAATTTTATATATAATAGTTGATTTTACACATCAGAATTTAATATTATACATTTAATGTTATTTACAAATACAGTTATAAATAAGACATATAAGAGTAAAATAATAAATCTTTCAGCTTATAATATTGTGTATAATTTTAAATAATTACTTATATAATTGACGAAAACATTATATTTTGTTAGTTTTCATTAAACTTTATTTTTATGAGTATCTATACACAATATTATAAACGGAAAGATTTATTATTTGTCTCTAATATGCCCTATTTATAACTTTATTTATATCTTTATATTAATAGTCCTTTACTTTTGTATTAATTTTAATGTTATTTATACAATTATTTATAAAAAATAATTTTCAAGTAAATATATAATTATACAGTACAATATAGAGAGAGAAAATCTGTGCAAAAGCATAACCATAAGTAATTTATAAATCTTGGTTTTGCGCTCAAATTTAGTTTTTCATTTTCGTTTCTTTGTCTACCAAAAGCAGTAAATAATATTTGAACAGTTTTTGACATAAGTGCTGACAAAGTATCATGAATAGCTTTTTTATATGTAGATTATTTTATATGTAGACGTTATGTCAATATATCTCTCAAATAATGGAAGCTAAAGAAATACGAAATTAAATAAAAATATTTTCTTAACCCGTAGTGGTCACACCTCTTAAAAATAACGTATTGATCACACTGGGTCCAGTTGATCCGACGCAAAAAAACAGTCGCCATTTGCGTTCTACTTGATTTATTGACTACATCAACTCAAAAATTGCCTCGGGTCAGACAGACCCAGTGTGACCACTACGGGTTAAAGATAAAAATATATAATTAATTTGAAGAAAATTATTACAATGGCATTTTTTTTTCATCGATGTCCATTAAAGCATTCAAATTGTTGACTCATCTTAATGTAGATGTAGGTAATTTTATCGTAATAATTTGTTTTAATCATATATGGTTTTAATGTAGAAATTAAATTAATTTCTTTGTGTGGAACAAATTTAATAATAAATTGTTTTGTAAATCTTCAAATCTTTTTCTTAAATCGTACAAAATACTTTTTTTAATATTTTTTAAATATTTTTTAATATTATCCAGTTTTTTTTTTTTGTAAAAATGCTTGTACTTTTTCATAGCAAGTAGATAAAAATAACTGCAAAATTCATTACGATTATCAAAAAAAAAGACATTCCTAAAGTATCGTTACAAAAAAATAATGTAGTTTCCAGGAAGGGGTTACTCAAAAGCAATTTCGTTACAAGTAACAAGTTACTTTCATTCCCTGAATTTTTATTTCCTTAAAAATTTTTATTAAATTCTATAAAAAATTCTGTAAATCGAAGTTTATCTTTCTAAGATACTAATATAGATAGTTAACTCTATTAATACGTTTCATTCCGATTATATTTGGAAATAATACTTTTAGACTGGAAAACTCAAGGGAAATCTCGATCTCAAGAAGGGGTGGATACAAAATTTATCGCTAGTAAAACGTACCCAACATGTGACTGCAACATATAAGGACTTACGTTTGACGATGGATATGAATTTAGGATTTGAAGTTATAAACGTAAGAACGGAACAGACATGATGATGCTAATTAATATTTAAAAAATCACTACAATTTATAGAAGACTTATATCTCAAAATTACATTTGTATAATTTTCAGTTTAGTTACGATTATTATCTGAAGCATTTACTGTATAAGAGGAATGGTAACATGTATGGTCGTTTACACGATCTTGATATCAACGTCGTTGTATCGATCGATCTAAATAATTATTACTTAAATCTCGACTCCATAAAGTTCTCCAATGTCTGGTAATTATTTCTTATATTTTTCGTATACCGAGAAAAAAATCTTTTATATCGCATTCGTATTATAATTCCATGATAAAATAGTTCTGATTAGCAGCTCAATTTTTATTTGAGACGTGCCATAACGATGTCATAGCCATAAAAATTAAATGTTAAAATTAAATGTTTAATGCTACTATAAGTGGAAAAAAGTGAGCAGTGCAATTCAAAATATTGTAAGTTCATTATACAATTGACATTTTTACTTGGACCTACAACGTTTTGATTTACATTTTTACATGAACTTACATTGAAATTTTTACAATTTTGAGTACGATTTTTTAAAAAGTTAATAGTACTTAATTAAAATTTTTTACTGAGACTATATGGATTATATTTTTAGTTAATATAGTAATTCTTTGTAGAATTTTTAAAGATAATTTTCAAGAAAACAAGTTTTTCCTTTCTTCTGAAAATAAAAACCATGGCACTTATTACGGTATGTTTTGGCATGTCTCAGTTAGGTACTACTAAATTATTAGTAATATTAATTATATTCTAGTTCCATTAAAAAAATATACAGTATCAAAAACTATAATTATAGATTATGGACAATAAATTATAGTTAAATTATGATCATTGTAATTATTTTTTTCTCTGGGTATGTATTATTTACTTGTCAAATAAAAGATTACATGTAGGAATTTTATGCGATCAAACATCGAGCACAGTAAATTAATTTTCAATGTTATAAATTATATTTTATTGATTGATGATAGCACAGAGTTGTTTTCTTAACGGCATATTAAACAGGTGTAGCGAAACAAATAGATAATATAATCACTGTCCATCTATCTTGATAAGTGACAGTAATTATTATCTCCTACATTGTTTCGCTGTATCTGTTTAATATGCTGTTATGATGATTAAAGAACGATAATAGTCGCCCGTAAAAATTCAATTTGAAGTTTATCAAGATATGTCATTAATATTTTTATTTTCAACATCTGTATTCGCAATGATCTTCTTTTATCTGATGGTTATGAGATATCGACATAATCTCTTGATTTAAATCGCAAATTTACCTTGCAAGTTTAAAACAAATTATAAACATAAGTATATCATAAATTTTTTTCAATTACATTTGCATAACAATTTTCTCTTTACTTTCGTTTTTTTGCAGGAAATTTGACCTACAATTCGGGGGTAATCTTTTGGACCCTATCGTGAATGCTTTGACTAAAATAGTCACAGTGGTTTTCCGAAATCCTATATTAAATATCGTTGAAAAGCGTGCCAAATCGAATTTCAGCGTACAACTTGGTAACTGGAACACAAACACTTCACAACAAAATCGCACGGAAATAATAGATAAATGGCTCGACATTGTGAAATCGGAATTTCATTAATCCTTGTTATTCTGTTATACTATCCTTGTATATTCATTATTATGTATCCTAAAAATATAAGCCAATTAAATCGTTGAACGCTTATAAATCAGCATCACGGACTTATCATTGATCTCTAAGCATTATTATCCATTTTATTGTCCAAAATTTAAGGATATATCAAATCTATTCAGTCTCTGCAAAAGTGATTAGAATTGAAAGTTTATTTCTATGTAAAAATAAATGCTAATAGTTTAGTTAGTTTACTATTTATACTAAACAATATAATAATATTAACAATATAAAATAATTATATAATTTAAAAAAAAAATTTCTTATTTTACTTTAATTATTTTTTAAAACGTGTCTATTTTTTATTAAAATAATTTTTTATCCAAGTTTTAAATAAGCTAAAATTATTTTTTGTATTATTTTCAACAGTTAGGAAAAAATTGTGATTTTTTCATAATTTTTCCGTAAGCATATAAATTATTTTTATTGTATTAAAAAAATATTAATTATTTTTATAATTTAATACAATGATATCATAAATATATCAATAAATAAACTATCTAAAGAAATATCTCTACGAATAATATATCATTGATGTTTGACGCGCGTCAAACTTCACAGAGTGCTGAAAACTATTTGATGTATATACCGTGCTGATGTGCGACGACAAACTACAGTAGTTTCGATGGGCAAACGGTGAGCTGTCAAACTACCTAAAGCGACGATCAATATGCATTACTTACAACGCTGTTAAGCTGCAACTTTGCGAGCACTCCCTGCCGCTTAATCTTATTAAACTTAGTCAGGTTTCTCCCGGGTACGTCGCGTCTTGACGCCGTTGTTTGGTCGCGAACGGCGATAGCGCAATCTGCATAGAGATAGCTCCATGAGAGTCCACGGGGGGTGGTCTCCGGGGATATCACGAGAGGTGCGCGTGGTAATCTTGTTTATACATACAACATTGCGGATATCGCAAGTATGAACCGCCGATCGATAGTGCCGACCGATTCCAGGTGCTAATACTAATATACTAATATTATATATGTACTTCATTTTAACCACCCTGCGCTTTACGCTCATCCGAACAGATCTATTAATTTATCCTTGCCTCAATTTACTGGAATTTACTTAAGACTAACAAAACCCTTCTAATAGAAGTCAATTTGTTGATACAACGCAAACAGTAGCGAATAATTAACACCAACGCTTCGTATTCACGAAAAGAATGAAGCGAATGAAAATAGAGTAATGAAAAACCAAATATTTCATTTCAGTATAAAGAACATAATCGTTGCAAAGAATTTTAGAATCCTATCTTTTACAAAAGAAATATAATATTAATCGAAAAAATTGACGGCTCTGTATTTCTAGTGCTAAATAGAAAATATGTTTCAACTAAAATGTTAATTTTGTAAATTACACTTTGCGTTCTCGCACTATTTTTATCATTAATTAATGAAGAGAATTATAATTTAATAGGAGCTGAAGCTTAATGACATTACCTTTCCCCTAGTGAACATTATGCGTTAACACACATGCGGTAGTGGTTGCCTATTATCAGGGGTATGTAGATACAAGACTGTCTGTGTGCATTTACTCATATAATTTAATTAATATTTGTAACATTGCATAATCATTATACATTTACTTCATTAAAACAGCATTTTGACAAATGCACATTTATATAATATTTGTAGGGAGGGAGCGGAGAGAGAAAATATTTGTATTTTGCGTAAAACCATTTTATCCGAAATTGATTTTTATTTAATTACGTTGCACAAAATTTCCTGTATAAAATTATATAATATTTTTAATTTTAATTTTATCTCTCTCTCTAATTGTTATTACATTGAAAAAAATTGTTTATTTGACTGAATTTATTTAGTTATCTTCAGCTTTTTTTTTTTTGTTGAAAAATGTACGTGTTTAAGTCAAATATAATGAGTCAAATACATTACATTTAATTTAAATATGTACATTCTTCACACGACAAAAAATTAAAAACAAAATTAAATATAATAAAGTTAAATAAACATCTTTTCTCAATGTATGGTATAAATGCGATTTGTCGCATAAATTTATGAACTTGATTGACATTGTAAACGTGAGTTGAGACTCGCTATTCTTACAAGTTCTATTTAGCTCGACTCAAGACAGTCGCAATATCTCAGCTGTCGAGAAGACGAATTGTATGATTCACGATGAAATCGCGTGCTTCCATTATCCACGATGATATCGAGGCATGCCTATCTGACTTGTGCTTCATATACTGGATCAGATACTCAGTATAGGGAACTGAGAGAAAGCCGCTATTGTCCATCTACGCGCACCTAGTATGCAACATCCCTCTCTATTTATTGATTATGATACCTGCATGCCGAAGGATTATAAACTGCATTACCCGCTACCGCATCGCGCAGAATATCCTTGATGGATCTCGACGAAATTGACTCTCTCTTGACAATTACGAGGTTTGCAGTTTACATATTTTCAAGATGATAACTCGAAAATGATTATGTTCGATAAATACTTTAAACTAGTTCACAATCTTTTTAAAAAAGTGTAAGGTAAACCCGGTATATACGCCGCGTCAGGAAATACGCCGCAGAAGTCAGAAAAAATAGAAGGAGTGGGGATAATTTTCCGTCAATTACTTTGTTACATGCCTTTATGGTATATTAGTATTATATTATGATTTTAGTTTTTTACTGTTAATATTAATGAAATTATTGCGAGTTAAATCGATTTTTTACTGTAATAAGTAGTGCCATCATAATTTATAATCTACATAAAATGATTATTGTAGAGCGTGTAAAAGACTTAGTGGTTATTTTGCAATACATATGTGTAAAGCAATAGTAAAGCATGTTGTATAACAAAATACAAGTGCTTTGCTCCTATATTGTTTGTTTAATTAGTTGTCATATATATCCCATCTATTTGGGATATATGGCATTTTTAGCGAGCTGTGCCGCAGCACAGACGTTCTATTTAAGAAGTTTTTATTAATTCTAATAATTATATTTTACATTATATAATGCATAAATGTTAATAAATCTTAAACGTTTAAAGATTATTTTCAAAGATTTGAAGCTATTTAAAAAAATTTTATTAAGTCCTATTTGTATTCCAATTTTCATTCTGAACAATAAAAATTGTCATATATTAATAAACAA